GGGGCATTCAGGTTAAGTTGTTACAAGAAAAAAGTAAAAAATATTCTTGATTGTTTGCCTTCATTACAATGCCGTTCATATATAAAGGAGACCATTGTATTAAGAAAAGACGTGTTTAAATGCATCAAGTTTTTGCAGGTACAAACACAATACCGGTATTACTGAGCATGGAATATTATCCTCGTTAAATATATGCCACACAGGGGAATGTTTCGGATTTGAATGAGCTATGTTGTCATGAGCATGTTTTAACATACTCACTTAGCCGGTCACGGTAGCCGAGCGGTCTAAGGCATGCACTGTCTTCGCTCTCTCGGAAGCCGAGATCGTGGGTTCGAATCCCACTCAGGGCATGGATGTTTGTGTGCATTTTTCTGTGTTTGTGTACAGGTAGAGGCCTTGCGACGAGCTGATCACTCGCCCAAGGAGTCCTACCGAATGTGTAAGATCTAGAAAAACCGAAGTGAACGGAGAAGTTCATGGAGGTAGGCCTAGCCCCACTGGGGCTGTAGTGCCAAGAAAAAAAATATACTCACTTATGTAATTTATTAGTAAAGATAGGATCTTATTGTTTTCACATGTGCACTTGGCCACTGCCGCCTCCTTCCATATCCTTGCGTATTCGTTATTCACTAATCGTCCTCTCATTTTACGCCGTATATTCTGAACTACGTGCAGTGTCATTAAATAAATATGCAAAGAAGAAAATAACTTCAGAACCAACTTACAGATTTTCATTAATCTTTGTCTGAGCACAGTGTCATTGAAAACCACCCTTCCCTTGTACTTTCAGAAAGCTACAACCATATTAGCATGGCGGTCATGCGAACATTTCGAAACACCATTGGCGTTACTTAGTAGAGGACATGACACTTAAATTCTATGTGCCTATGGATCTTCGAAATACTCGTACATGAACCTAACAATAAGGTGATCACTCGAAGCTTAGGTTCTGAAGGCCTAATTTGCAATATTTAGGCACGTTTATACTGGAGCAGCGAGTTAAATGTCAGGCGACAATAGCAAATGACGTAAATATGTAGGTACGAGGACAAGCCCTTCCTACCTGAACAAGAAGTCACTTTATCACTTTAATACTTGGCAGGTTTGTCTACGCATGGAATAAACTTGAACTACTGATAGATACCACAGGGTTCTGACGATGGTGTATAACACACATAGATACTGGGTTTTCGGACTTTGTCCATCGTCCGGATTCTAAATAACTAAGAATAAAAAAAGCACAACGTTTCGGTAACTGGATCTGTTTCCGTCCTCAGGTGAAGGAAGACACCTACTCTGCTGGGTTCCTTAGAAAGAGTTAGTCTCAATCACTGGACTGGCTAGCTCTTTCTAAGGAACCCAACAGAGTAGGTGTCTTCCCTCACCTGAGGACGGAAACAGATCCAGTTTCCGAAACGTTGTGTTTTTTCTTAGTTACTTAGAATCCGGACGATAGACAAAGTCCGAAAACCCAGTATCTCCGTGAGTTGAACTACTGAGTAACAATTATTGTTGAAAGTGAAGAGTGTAGTTAATGGCAAGTGTGCTCGTAATTTATTTAGGCTGCAAATANAAGGTAAAGTTGTCCCAGTGTTTAACTAATTAAGCACTATGCCATGAAGGCGTATGGGGGAGTGGAAGTATAGATCCACGTTTTCTTGACTTCGGCTCTAGTTGAAGGTGAGTGATCAACTTCACGCACCGACCGCTTTAGCCCCGGGGAGAGAGTCCCTCGGTACCAATTAGATTGGAGGGTGGGTGGACCCGAGAGCCGGGCTGGACGACGTGGGGAAGAGAAAATGCTTGACCCTACCAGGACTCGAACTCCGACCCCCCGATCGTCCAGCCCGTAGCCAGTCGTTATACTGACTACG